TTGTTTTGAGACTAAGTTCCACACAAAACAGGATAAAAATAACAAAGATGTACACTACACAGCTGAAGGAGCACACTCTTGCTAAGCCTTATCTTCAGAACAAGTTTCTTTGCTTCGGTGAAGAGTCAAGAGGTCATGACTAGCTGGTCACCATCAGCCACCTTCCAAACCACCTGGGAGGGAGTGGTTCTCAGGGGTTTCCCTGGCTGCTCACCTCTGTGCTGCTGCACCTCAGTCCCAGTGTGGTGAACTCAGTGCTTGCTGGGTCGTGGGTCGCACTTGTCCCTGGTGCCCCACTTCCCTGGAGGACAGCAGCCCACGGAGCTTCGAGCACGCAAACTGTACTTGTAAGGATGACTTCTCTGCTTCTTGGGGTTCGTGTCTTTCTGGTCCTGGCCTTTTGCAGTTTCCTTAGTACCCTCTTTTTGTTCATGGTCTTGCACTTTATGGCAGGGCAGTGTGTTCTTAATTGTGTTAATTAGGAATCTTTTATTTGTACCAGCAAGAGGACACTTCATCCAACCCGTCGGTCCCATTGTTTCTGCTCTAGTTTTCCCACGTTTTGCCTCCTGTACCAGTTCTGTTGCTTTCCTTTCCAGCTCCTGGTCCTCTTTCGTCGCCAAGCAGCTTTGGAATCCTTAAATGGTGCAAGTGGCTCCGAGCCTCTGTGGAAGGCGGGGGGGGGGGTCTTTTTGAGACAGGGTCTCACTGTGCAGTTCAGGCTGGCCATGAGCTCACTTTGTAACCCAGGCTGGTCTCAAACTCTCAATGATCCTCCTGCCTCGGCCTCCCGAGTGCTGGGATTACAGGTATGCATGATCAGGCTTTTTATTTATTTCACATGATAGGGCAAATCCTGTTCCTATGATCCAAAAGTGTCAACAATCAGAAATTTAAATTTATAGTATTGCCACGTGGTAGCACGTGCCTGTGACCTCACCAGTCAGAGGCTGAGGCAGGAAGATTGCAATAAGTTCGAAGCCAGCCTGGGCTGTGCAGGAAATCCAAAGCCAGCACTGGAAGACCCTGTCTCAAAAAATATTTTTTTAATAAAAATAAATAAATAAATAAATAAATTTATGATGTTTAGTTTGGCTTGGTTTGAAGACCAGGTCTTGCTATGTAGTTCAGGCTGGTCTTAAACTCACTCTGCAGCCCAGGCATCAAACTCCCATCCACCCTCCTGTATGAACTTCCTGAGTGTTGGGATCACAGGTGTGTGCCACCCTGCCTGGCCCAGAAATTTAAATTTAAAACAAACCTAAATAAATAATAGAACAAAATAAAGCAAAACACTATTTATAATAGCATCGAAAATTGTAAATACAGGGGCGCGGGGAGATAGCTCAGCAGAATAAGTGCTTGCCTGGCAAGTGCAAGGGCCTGAGTTCAATCCCCAGTTCCGCAAAAAAAAAAAATTGTAAATACAGATAAATCTATGGAAGGACACTCAAGACAGCACAGTGAAAACTACAAAACTTTTGCCACGCATTGTGGCATAACCCTGTCATCCCAGCACTCGGGAGGCTGAGGCAGCAGGATCACTGTTAAGTTAGAGGCCAGCCTGGGATATATAGTGAATTCAAGACCAGCCTGAGCTACATAGTAAAACCCTGACCCTCGCCCAAAAAAAAGGCTGGTGAGATAGCTCAGCTGACTAAGCGCCTGCTTAGGTAAGCGCAGAGACCGGGTTCAATCCCCAGCGTCACATACAGCATCAGCCTCGCCCCCGGCACAATGAGCTGGCCACAGAGACTGGGCGTGGCGGTGCATGCCTGTAATCCCAGCACTGGGGAGGCTGAAAACAGGAGGATCACTGCGAGTCCGAGCTGCATAGTGAGACCCTGTATCAAATACACGAAAAGAAATTTTAAAAAGCCAATGGATTGCTATAAAACTCAGAAGAAACCATAGGAGTAGGTCTTTTTTGTTTCATGTTGACAGAGATTTTTTTTAATTGAGAAATAAATATGAATGAGACAGTTTCAAATCTGAATAATAGGATAGTTTCAATAATTGACAGAGATTTCTTAGATACATACTAAAAGCACAGTCAAGACAGGGAGAAAAGGAGAAGTTATTGGACTGTGTAATTGTAAGAAGTTCTACTCCTTGCAGACACAGAAGAGAATGCCGAGACCATCACAGACTGGGAGGAAGTGTGCAGATCATATACATGGTAGCAGACTTGTGGTCACAATATATAAAGAGCTCTCAAAACTCAATAATAAGGGCTGGGGAGATGGCTCAGTAGAATAAGCGCTTGCCTGGCAAGCACAAGGGCCTGAGTTCAATTCCCCAGTTCTGCAAAAAAAAAAAAAAAGTAGACTGATCCCACTAAGTATCAGCAAGGACTCCAGGAACAAGTAGGGAGGAAAATGGCACAACCACATGGGAAAACAGCTTTGCAATTTAGTTAAACTAAGCTAGGCATGGTGGTGCTCACCTGTAATCCTAGCACTTGGGAAGCTGAGGCAGGAGAATCATTGCAAGTTGGAGGCCAGCGTGGGCTACAAAGTGAGCTCAAGGCCAGCCTGAACTGCATAATGAGACTCTGTCTCATTATGTGGAACCAGGGATTGAACTCAGACCCTTGTGCTTGCCAAGGAAGCACTTATTCCACTGAGCCATCTCTTCCCGGCTTCTAAAAAAAAAAAAAAGAAAGAAAGTCCTTAAAAAAAAGTTACACTCTTTAATCTGATAGGTATCTACCCAAGAGATTATGCAAGCTTGTAGTTGTATAAAGAACTGTATGTAAAAATTCATAGCAACTTTTTTGTTGTTGTTTCTTTCAGACTGGGTCTTAGTATACAGTTCAGGCTAGCCTGGAACTCACCATGTAGCCCAGGCTGGCCTTGAATTTACAGCAGTCCTCCTAGCTAAGCCTCTCAGATGCTGGGATTATAGGCATGTGCCACCATGCCAGGTGCAACTTTGTTTATAATAGTAAAAAACTGGAAACACTCTAAGTGCCCATTGCAAGTGAATGGATGAAAATATTGTGGGATATTCACAAGAGGGAATAATACTCAGCCGTTAAAAAGGAAGGCCAGATAGATACATACATACACAACCCAAAAGAATCTGAAGATACTTGTGTGGCATAAAAGACACTTTAGGGGCTGGTGAGATGGCTCAGTGGTCTAAAGCACCTACTTACAACAAGCTTAGCAGAGCCCAGGGACCGCGGTTCGATCCCCCAGCACCACATGCCAGCCGGCCCGCCCCCTGGTGGGCTGAGCTGGCCACACACACACACACACACACATAAATAAATAAAATTAAAAGACACTTTAGAGACCAAGGAACATAAAGATCTGTATCAAATTCTTGGAAATTCAAATTAAAGTTCAGGCCATAATGCAGATCGGTGGTTGCCTAGGGACTGCGGCAGGGCAGGTTGAGCGCAGAAAGGCTTACGGAGTGAGGGGGCACGTCGAGCAGCGATGTCCGTATCGCCTTTCCTGATTACAGCAAAGCTTTCCTGGCTGCAAAGAGAAGTAGTTTATGCTACGTCGGCTGCACCTGCTACAGCCGGGTTTTTGTTTTTGCTTGGTTTGGGGTTTTTTGAGAAGGGTCTTGCTGGGCAGCTTAGGCTGGCTTTGGACTCGTTATGCTTGAAATCCTGGCAGTGCCCCACCTCTGCATCATCGTGCCCAGAACTTCGTGCCCTTGTCACCTTACAGCCAGCTCTTTTTTAGTTTTTGTTTTTGTTTTTTTTTCTTTGTATTTTAGGGAAGGGTCTACAGGGTGTTCAGGCTCTCACTACTAGATCGGACTCATAGTGATCAGCCTGTTCACAGCCTCCCACGAGCTGGGATTACAGCTGCGCGCCACCACGCCCAGTCTCAGTTGCCATCTTAGCACACCCCAGGGATGGGGCCGGCATGGCAGGCCTGGGGGATTGAACCCCTGGCCCCTGCGCCTGCTTGGAAGTGCTTTAAGCCCTAGCCTGCCTACATATTTTTAAATTTTATTATTTTTATTTATTTGGCATAGGGTCTAGATACACAGCTCAGCTTGGCTTGTGGTACTAGGGATTGAACCCAGGTCCTTGTGCTTGCCAGGCAGGTGCTTAGACCACTGAGCTATCTCCCCAGGCCTAGCCAGACTATTTTTAAGGAAAGAAACAGACAAATTCGACTTGGACTGGGCTCCCAGCACCTCAAGGGGGTGGGGAGCACCCTCACCCACAGCACCAGAGACCATGAGGCCAGAGAAAGGCTGGAATAGGAAGTTGACAGCCTGGAGCCTTGTAAATTCCTGCTGTCGCCTCCCACGAAAGTGGCGGCCCCACCTTATCTCCAGCCGCCTTCTCCAACATTCTTCCATCCTTCAGTGTCTCCAGCCCCAAAGGACCTCCTGCACTTGGGCAGGGTGGCCCTAGGAGACCCACTCTCCACTCCCTGAGCTGTGCCCAGCAGGGGGTATTGCCACAGCCTGGACCACACTTTTTTAATAAAGAAACTGAGGCTGAGAAAAGTGCAAGTAGTCGGAGGTCACAGGGACCCACGTGGAGGGACCTCGCATGCACAGAGGGCCCCGCGAAAGCTCATTTGCAGCCCCATGGGGTTTGGGGGGGAGCATGTTATCAAACCCAGACCCCAGTGTGAATGGGATTTTTACTGTGATAGTGGCAGTGGTGTTAATTTGAACCCAGGGTCTTCATAGCCCCAGCCCTTTTTTATTTTGAGATAGGATCTTGCTAAGTCATTAAGTTCCCCAGGCTGGGCTGGAACTTGGGATCCTCCTGCCTCAGCCTCCCGGAGTGCTCGGATCACAGGCATGCACCACCAAGTCTGTGTTAGGATTACTAACTTTATTTGTAGTTTTCTTGTTATATTTGGGGTGAGACATGTTCTCACTCTCTCAAATATTTCTAAAAGTCTAAGTTCTAATGGCAAAGTGGTCCCATTAGTTCCGGCAGGGGGGTCCTGGTTTTATTGGCTAGGATATGAAGACCCCCTGAGAGGCCAGATCAGGGCGGGGCTGCCTGCCAGGAAGTAGACTTGGGGTGCAGTCCGGGGTCAGCCTGGCCCGGGGTTACGTGAGGACTGTAGCGTCCCTCCCTCGGGCCTGGATGGACTCTAGCTGTTTTCGTTGGGAGTCATCTTACCTTATCAAGTCACAAGTCCCTGAGTCACCCCCAGCCCCAGGCCAGCTCCCCGGCTGTCCCTGCCCTGCTTCCTGTGGCCCCATATTGTTCCCTGCCCCGCCGCCTTCGGGACGTTTTGTCTCCCTGGTCCTGGCGACTGCCAGCCGCTGGGAACAGGAACTGCACACAGGCCCCGGCCTTTCCCAGGAAGTCACACAGGCTGCGGGGGGACGTGTGGGGCGGCAGGCCTGGGCCTGGCGTGGAGTCCGGCCTGCAGCCCCTGCTGCAGCCGTACCTAGGGCAGGGCCAGCACAGAGCACAGGGCCGCCTTATGGTTCCAGCAGGGGCCACCTGCACGCTGTTCCCTGTCTGCCCCATGCCTCACGCTCTGTACCAAAGGTCCCCTGCAGGGCCACCCCTTTACCTCCTCGCCTGCTGCCACAGTTCACCACGCCATTCCTTCATCCATCCCTTTTCTGTTTTGCTTTTTTTGGAGGGGATTGTTTTCATTTTTTTGAGACAGTGTCTCAATGGTGTAGTCCAGGGTGGCTCAAACTTGCAGTGACCCTCCTGCCTCAGCCTCCCGAGTCTGCGATTGCAGGTGTGCGCTAGGTGCGAGGCCATCCCTGAGGCCTTCCTGGCAGAGACTGAGGCTGTCCCCCCATCCCAGCTCCACAGCTCCAAGCCTCCTCGCTGGGAGTGTGTGTGCCCCCTTGTACCTCAGAAGAGTTAGGGTGAAAACGGTGGCCTAAAGCAACCTCTGGGCTCTTTGGGATAGACTGTCTTCCCCTCCCAGGGCCCTGTTGGGCCGTCTGACCCACAGAAGACGTCCCCACTGTAGCCCCTTGGACAGCAGGTATGGGCGTCCCACACCTGGCCTCAGCTCATCTTCTGGCCATCCCGGAGCATGCGTGACAACTGTTCCCATTTTATAAGGGAAAGCTGGGCACGTGGCGCACACTTGTCATCCCAGCACTCAGGAGGCTGAGGCAGGAAGATCACCATGGGTTTGGGGCCAGCCTTGGCTACATGGTGAGTTCAAGGCCAACTTGGAATACAGAGTGAGCCCTTGTCTCAAAATACAAAACAAAAAACACACGTGAGGTTGCTGGTCCTGTAGTGCGAACACAAATAAACAACCAAGGGGACCTGGAGACCCTGCAGCAGGACATGATGTGACTCCCCGCCCTGGGACCTCGGACTGTGGCCCGTGTTTAGGGAGGAAGTCCAGGCTTCGGGCGCTGTCCCCGACTCCACAGTGACACCTGGAAAACCAACTCCACAGCCTGCAGCCGGCATGTGGGCGAGCCCGGCCAGGGCTGTCCCCACAGCCTTGTCTCATAAACTCAGACAGAAATCTGCTGCTACTAAGGAAATCATCTACGTGTCCACAGGCCATAGACGGTTTCAATACAGAGCCCTTTGGGAAGATTTTTCCTCCCACTTTAATTTTTTTCTCCTCTTGAGAGAGCTGGCTGGGCCGGAACTCGGTCCCAACTTCCTCCCAGAAAAAACAAGCGCCGACCGGCTAGCCAGGAACTGCTGGCAGACATGGTTCATTCATTTCCCTCCTATCCGAGTGCGAGGATGAGGGCCTGGGGTCCCAGGACAGGAACCCACCGCGTGACACATACCCCCTCACCCACGCATACCAGGTGCACACACAGTTACACACAGGACCATGCCCCAAACAGCCCGACTGTGCAGACCACGTGTGCACACTCACGCCCAGCACACCCACGGAAATGCTCACCATCAGATGGCGTGGCCGCACGTACCTGAAATGCCAGTGCTCAGGAGGCTGAGGCAGGAGGATCTCCACGCTGGCCCAGGCCACACACTGAGGAGGAGATGTAACCATGATAATCCGGAAGGGATCCTCAGAGCCCGTCACCCCCAATCTCTGTCAGCATGGAGAAGAGTAGGGTGAAGGGCAGATCGCGCTTCAGAGGTGTGTCAGACCCAGCCTCCACCACCCGGAGCAAAGCTCTTCACCTCTCTGAGCTTTAGTTTTCTCAACTGTAAATCAGGAGTAGGGACTGGCCTTACAGGATTCTAGGAAGAACGAATAAATGAGCACTTCCGGGGACTCTGCGTTATGTCTGGGGGACGCCAGATGCCCCAGCGATCTTCCCTCCTCGTCTCTTCAGCTCTTAGGCCACCATTCAGCTGCGTGGCTGAGGTGAGGCCTTGCCCTCTCTGGCCTCCTGCCACCTCCTCTAAAGGGACCCCTGAGGCCACACGGCAATAGGCTCTCAGCAGAGAGCTGGCAGTAACCAGGATGACAGCCTGGAATTTCCCAAGACCTTAGGCATCAGGGTCTGAGGGGAGCAGAAGGGCTTGGGGAGTCACCCACCTTTGTCCTCAGCTCAGGCTGGTATTTGAAATATTCCTCTGAACAGCAGAGACGCTGGGAGGTCCAACCAGGGAGGAGAGGTGTGGTTGCCCAGGAAACCGTGTTTGCACTGTTCTGCAGGGGGAACCTCAAGAGGAAGGGCCTGGGTGTACAAAGGGAAAGAGGGGGGCCTCAGGGAAGCTGGAGGAGTGGAGGAAGCCAGCGGTCAAAGGGACCAGCGCATGGCCCCAAATGCTGGGCAGGTGCAGGGCCATGACCCCAGGGCACCAGCCCCGAGTGTGGATTCCCAGGTAGGGCCTGGAGCCACGAGGGCATGGAGAAGAAACCAGCTCCTAGGTGGGGCTGCTGGGAGGGCCTGGGGTGTCACTCAAAGAAGGAGGAACGTGGGGCCAAGGCCTTGGACCCCTCAGCAGAGAAGGAGCAAAGGACCCTGAGCCCCTCACAGCAGCCCCAGAGGCTGAGGCAGGCAGGACCCTGGAGCAGGATGCGTTCCCTGCACATCCGGGTTCTCCTGCTGCTGCAGTTTGCTGGCTGCAAGATGTCAGTGACATCTATTTTTGGAGTCCTTGGTGGTCACTGTGGAAGAATGTTGTGCCAGACAAGAAACATGCCGTTTACCTGGGGTGACACATCTCTGGGGGCCCAGTGCACCCCTTCCATGATCCTCCTCCTGGTCTACCCCAAACTCCCGAGCCTGCATCGGCCTCTCATTCCCCTGTCCCAAGGGGTTGTGCTCTCGCTCGTGGATCCTGCTACCCCCTGGACACAGGCCTGCCCCAGAAAGGCATGTTGGGGTTCCCGGCCTCCCAGGCAGGAACACAGGGCCTCCCGGTCCCTCTCATGCTGTCAGCTGCTCCACACAGTCCTGCCTGCGGTCCTGGTCCAGAGCTGCCCCTCTGGCTCCTTCCCACCAGTCTTTCTACCTGGTCCTCTGCAGGGTCTGCCCAGAGACCCTCCTCCTGGAAGGTCTCTCAGCCCCCTCCTTGCTGTCTTTCTCCTCCACAGTGGGGGCAGCAGGTAGGGAGTGAGAGACCTATCCATCCTCTACAGGCAGGGTCCCGTGAGGAGAGGTCGGGCCTGAGAAACATCTAGTCAGGGAGTCAGAGCCGCATGGGACACCATCGATAATCCTAGGCTGAAAGCACAGGGAGGTTTAAAAATGGGGACATCACCATTGGCTCAGAACCCCTTGGGCCAACACACTGGCCGCCACGGAGGAGCCATGGGAGGCCAAGGACACCCCCCATCTCCCCTCTCAACTCCCTGCTTCTTTCTGAGTACAGCAGTGCAGGCCTGTGACCCCAGCATCCCAGGAGGCTGAGGCATGAGGGTCACACGTCCAAGTTCCATTGGCTCCACGTGGTGAGGCCTGGATGACTTAGTGAGACCCCGACTCCAGCTAAAACACAAGGAAGGGTGGGGGATATAGCTCAGCGAGGAGGTTCTGAGTCCTCAGGGGGCAGGGCCTTCTGACCGGAGCCACTCAGGGCTAACCCACAGGGCTCTGAGGCTGTGGTAAAGGCTGGCACAGAAGGCCAGGACCCCAGGGGTCTTGGTGTCCACAGTCACATGGGAGGGGCAGCGGCCTGCCTTGGTGGGCCACTTGCTTGGCAGGGTACAGTTATGTGGTTCCAACCCTCAGACCAGAGCTCAGGGTCTCTGGCCTGGCGTGGGCCAACTGAGGGTCTCCCCCATCCTGCTTCTTTGTTTATTTGGAGACAGGATCTTATATGTAGCCCAGGCTGGCCTTAAATTCTTGGCTGGGGAGCTAGCTCAGTGACCTAAGAGCCTGCCTGGCAAGCACAGGGACCCGAGTTCGATCCCTGGTACCGCATGCCCTGCCCGCCTGAAACCAGAATTGGTGGCGCACGCCTGTAATCCCAGCACTGGGGAGGCTGAGACAGGAGGGTCACTATGAGCCTCAGGTGCTTGGGAGACCCTGAACCAAATACATAAACAAATAAAAAGTTTAAAAGAAAAAGGGAAAAAATATCCTCAGCAGTGCGAGGGTCACAGGTGCGCGCCACCTTATGGGGCTCCTCTGTCATTCTTCAGGGAAGTGGCTGCTCAGCGAGTAAGGCAGCGGGGGTGGGAGGGCACACATTCAGCGGGGCGAGTCTAAGCCCCGCAGCCACACAGCTGCCCAGACTAACACCCAACTGCTGCGCTCACTGCCAAGGTTTCCGACACAGACGCTCCAGGCAGCTGGGGATGCGGGCCTCGCCCCAGCGTGAGGCCTCCCTCAGGCTGCTTCGGGTCCCAGCGACACAGCTGTCTCGGCTGTGAACTTGGGCCCTCAAGTTCCCGCCCGCTCAGCCCCTGCAGCCCCAGTCGGTGCCTGGTGCCCCGTCTGCACCCTAGGCCCTGGGGGCCTGCAGCACGGGCTGGACCTGCCGGGAGCAGGGACCCGAGCACTGTGTCACAGAGCAAGAAGGGCTTGCAATTTGGTGACAGCTGGGAGCTTCCGTGCGTGCAGGCGCTCTCTTCCCAAGCTGTCCAGGGGACAGGTCCGCATATTGTCCTCGCAGCGGCCTTTGAGAGGCGAGCCAGGTACCTTCCCTACTACTTCCTACATTAGGCAGCACTGAAGGCAAGGAAACCTGCCTACACTGCAGCAAGAGAACCTTAGGGGAGACCCAGGCAGGGCTTCCTGCGGGGCCTCAGCAGGCCCAGGCCCAGCAGGCAAAAAATCGTGCCCTAACCCTCCCTGGTGGAAGCAGGGATTCCGCTTGCTCCTGGGCTTCCAAGCTTTCTACAAAGAACAACCACTAGTGCATAAAAGAGCATCATGGATACATCCAAAAGTAGCAGAGAAAAGTTATAAACACAGTATACTTGGAAGCCACTCTGGGAGGTCTCTGGCCCCCACCTCCTTACCATGGCTGGAGTGCAGCTCACAGTCCTTAGGTGTGCCTTTTGATCTTTGTTCAGATTGTTTCTCACCCAAGCACTTTCTTCTTTGCTTTTCTACCTAAGAACTCCTACACATCCCTCAAAGCCTGCCCTGTATGGCCCCTTTCTCCGGTGAGCTTAACACACTTTACCACCCACAGGGCTGTGGTTCTCCTACATGTGACAGACTTATCACATCTCTAGGCCACTGTCCCAGCAGTTTCCTGAGTGTGGGGCCGTGGGTCATCCTTGCTGTTCCTGCTGTGCAGGTGTGATTGATACCTGGGGTTGAACCTAGGGCTGTAGCTGCATCTCCTTCCCTTTTTGGCCTTGACACAAGGTCTAGCTAAGCTGTTCAGGTTGGCCCAGAGTTGCGATCCTCCTGTCTCAGCCTCTGGAGTGCAGGGATTATGGGTATGCACTGCTATGCCTGGCTTCATAATTCAGGCTTTCTTACAGAGCTTTCCCAGCCAATATGTGTCCATTTGAGGAGAACGTCTCCCCATGGGGAAAATGTGAGCAGAGTGGACGGTCACCTGCAGTAGCTCCCTGGCCTTCAGACCATCTTCCCTTTGTACAGATGGGCAAACCAAGGGACACTCAGATGTGGGAAACTCCTACCCGGACCACTGCTCCCCACACCCCAGCAAGAAGCTGTGTGCAGGTGGGGCTGGTCCTGAACTGGGGTCAGCCCTTCCTGCTCCAGGCCTCCTGGGTGAGCATGGAGCTGGGGTTGTCCCCAAAAAGCAAGCTTGTCACCCTCGAAGGCCCGGAGGGCATCTGTGGCCACCTCCTCGCTGTCCTCCTGGGACAGAAGGAAAGTAGCACCAGACCCACCGACCCGGCAGGTCTAAGGTTCCAGGATGCCCCGCCCCGCCCCCACGCCAAGAGCGGGGGCCTCCGAGCCGAGAGCCAAGCCGGGGTCAGGCAGCGGCAGGCGGGCGGGTGGAGCCCGGGCTGTCTGCTCCCGCGCCTGGCGGCCTCCCAGGGGTGCTCACAGGCCTGGCCGCCCCCGCTCTCCCCAGGGCCTGATAAACCAGAAAAAAGCACGGCCCCTGCGGAGGGAAGGAAGCGCCCGCAGACAAAGGAGGGAAGGGCAGGCTGGTTCCCCGGCTCCGGGCTGCGGCCAACCTGGCGGCCGGGCTGGGCAGGGCAAGGCGGCCACAGACGGTGGCCTGGGGTGCTGCGCAGGAGGCGGGGAGTCCCGCCGCCCGGCTCCCTGTGCCCAGGCCCTGCCTTCTGGCCCCAGGGCTCAGAAGCACCGGTCCCCTGTGTGGAGCTGAAGTTGGCGGGGGCTTTGCCGGGGGCCACAGCGCCACAGCCTGTCATGGCAGAGCAGGGCGGGCCTGGCTCTCTGCTGAGATTCTGTTTTCCTGCTGCTGCACACCTGCCTGCGTCTCCAGAACGCGCTGTGCCGCCTGCAGGCAGGACCCAAGCCAGGCTCAGAGGCTTCCAGCAGGGCCACCCGCGTCCCCGACTTCCCAGGGGCTGCTACGCTGGAGGCTGCACCCCGAAGGCCAAGCACAACCACCAGCCGGGAGAGTCCCTGAGAGTGTCAGTGCACATGATGACCCCCACATCACCTTGTCACC